CTGCTACTACAATGGCCATTATCAAAAAGTTGAAAGATAAGTGTTCCAGAGAACATGCATATGGAAGGAAAAAAAGGAACTCTGGTACACTGCTGATAAAAATATATAACAGAGCCGTTTTTGGAAAATAGTGCAAAGGTTCTTCAAAAAACCAAAAATGGAACTACCATATGATCCAGCAATCACAATTATTGATAGAAATGGCCACACCTGATGTTCACTGTAGTACTAGTCACAGAAGCCAAGATATGAAAACAGCTGAAGTGCCTTTTAGATGAGGCTATACCAGGAAGTTGAAACCTCACACTTCAGGCTGCTTTAGGACAGGGGCTATTTGCTAGAAACTCTGAGACCACAAAAATGGCAGCTGTGGACACCTGGTGTTATGAGTACTGAAACCCAGGGAAAGGTAGGAGGGTGGCTAAGGACATACTGCCTATGGTTAGGTCACCAGGGGGGAAGCTCAACCCAAAGACCTGGTTAGATGTCTATGCCTAGGGAAGACAAAGGAGAGACAGACTTCTTCACAAAGAATTAAGTGGTTCTCCTCTGCTTTTTTTTCTCAAGTGAAATCTTCACAAACAGAAAAATTCTTTAAAAGATGCCTTCTAAAACTTGGAGAAAAAAATGACAAAATACTGTATCACCTGTAGCATGACGAACAAAGAGTTGATAATATTGTGGAGAGGGAGAAATGGTCTTTGGGAATTTGGGGAGAGGTCATTTTAGGACTTTATAGCCAGATCTAGGAAAAACTAGATGGAGGAGGGGTACACAAGACACAATACCCTGGGTTTGAGATCCTTCTTCCTAAACATTAAGAAAGCTCAGGGGGACCCTAACCCTAAATCCTAACCCTAACCTGGGGGTAGGGAGCAACTGAGAACCCTGTGGACCATGGCTCCTCTAAGGAAGGAACCGCATACATGGAGTTGGGATTCTCTCTTGAGGATCTTGTCAGTCCTCAACAGAAATCTCAGGAGGCTAGGGGAAGGGAGTCATCTAGAGAAGCCTCCAGCGGGGCCAGAGAAGGGGACACAGGAAGGAGGCAGGGGACCGGGTCCCCCACAGCCGACGGCACCGAGGCTGAGCTGCCCAGAGACTAGGACCTGCAGACTCCATAGTGGACCACCAGGAGGCCTGATAGCACAGTTCTACAAAGCCATTTCCCTGTGCCAGGATGCCGGGTGCATGCTCACAATTTCCAGGATCACCTGCGTCCTTCCTGTGGCTCTCCCATCCCTGCCAGTCACAGGACAAGAGAAGCAGAAGAACAACCAAGCAAAGCAAGAGTTGGGGCATGGACTCCAAGATGAAGAGGCTCCACCTAAAGGCCCATGAGACTGAACTCCTGCCCATCCCCTCTGGCTGTGTGCCTGACAGGACAGTCCTCACCTCAGTGCTTCTGATCGGACAGCCTTCAAGATCCACCTTCCCACTCAGGCCCTGAGCAAGGGATGGCACTGACTCGTGGCGAATGTGGCCAGAATAGCTGGTACTTGGCTGCAGCTGGTAGGGGAAGTGGTGCTGAGGCTTGAATCCAGGGCTTCTATCTGCCCATGTTTAAGGCAGGATTTCCTACAACTGGGGAGACCTAGCTCCCCAGGAAGACATTTGCATTTATCCTTGTACTGTATACAGGGCACATCAATTTATGAATTATATACAGATATACCATTCACAAACAGAAAGACTATATTGACAACTGTTTTTAAATTTCACTTAACATTTCTCGTCTCTGGTATTATGAAGAGGAAGGCTGAGCTCTGAAATGGGAAGCAACACCCTAAGGTAGCAATGCCAATACAAAAAATATGAAGCACAAGTGTAATTTTACATTTTCTAGTATTCACATTTAAAAGTTGAAACCGGTGAAATTGACTATACTAACTTTATCCAATATATCAAAAATATTGTTATGCTGTGATCAATGTAAAATTACTAATGAAGTGTATTTTTGATGTTACATCTTCAAAACTCACACTATTATAAACCTTCCAGCACATCTAAGTTCAGAGCAGCCATATGCCAGCTTTAAGGGCTATGATTTCTCTGACCTCAGAGAGGTGAGAGGTGAGGGAATACATTTCTTTCCATATTTGTCTTCAGGCCCATGGAGGAAGAGACAGTACCTGAGAGCAGGCAGCTACCACCAGAAGTAGATCTGCTTCCCACCTGTAATGTTGAACAAAGCCCCACTCACTAACACAGGGAGATCAAATAGGGGATAAAGAGGCAAGAAAGTTAGAAACTCATATATGGTCAGAAAGGGATTGGTCCCTCGAGGAAATCAGTACCCAAAAAAAGAGGCAACAGAATTGTGGCTAAACAAATCTGTATTTGGCACCCTCTGGTCCAGTGGCCTAGACAGGCATCAGAGAAATAGGTGGATGACCAGAACACCTGGATCCATACTCTCCTCACTTTCAAAGAATTCCTTTGATTTTTTTCGTGTACCCTTGTTACATGACTCACTTCTCTATTGGATCAATTTTGGCTAAGCATGTATACTTATAATCCTATAGGTTGATCATAATTTGACCCACATTGTAATTTTACTGTATAAATTACCCCTGACAAAGGGCCTTGGAGGTCACCCACATAGGACCCCTCCTGGAAATCCGGGAGCTATTCTTCCCGTTTTTTGGTACTAGCGATCAAACTTGGGACCTTGCATTTGCGAGGCAGGTGGCGGCACCACTGAGCTAAATCCCTGGCCCACTTCCCTGTATTTCTAATAAAATCCTCCTTTCGCTATTGGTTTGACTTCATTCTTCAATGTTATGAGACCATGAATTTGGCACATTTGACATCTAACAGGTTGGGAGTTATATTTTTTCAATAACAAAAGGAACCCACGTCTGATGATCTGTCCACAGCCTTGATCTCCAGAGTTTAAATGTTGAGGGATATAAAGGATAATTTATTTCGGAATTTGGCCTTGGACCTAATGGTCAGGCTGTGTGTTTATTTCCTTCTCTTGTGTGGGGTACTGTGGTAGTTTAAGCACCCATCATATGCATAAATACTTGCATGTATTTCTGTATAATTCAACACCACTTAACAAGACACCTAATTTTAAAAGGCAAGGAAATTTGTACCTGTATGAAACTATTTGCACAAGTTAAAATCAACAAGTCATTGAAATCTGGCATCCTACCTATATGTATCTATTCCTGGGTTACATGCTACCCCTGGATAACAAGCCATCAATTGGTAAGACCAGCAGGATTTATGTCTACTTAGTATTACTCTTTTCACCATGATGAACAATTTTGAGAATGTCTCTGAAGCATTTGGAAAGGACTTGGAATAATCTGTATGCTCACTGGTCAAAATACAGATCACAAACATCCAAAAAGCATTCTTGCTTCACTTACATAATGATGTTATGTGAGAGCTGTGCTTTCTCCAGTTAATACTGAAGCTAATACACCTTTAGAATAAATTTATGTTCTCAGAGAGGGGTTATCTGAACTATTCGTTGATATCTGAAGAAGCCTTTACTACCATACCCAATTTTCTTCAGGACTTCTAAATATTGATATTATGAAGATCCATCATATTAATGGACTGGTGTGGAATTTCTGTCTAATGTACAACTGATAAAATTATTTCTGAAGTTCAGAATCACCATGTCTCTTACTCTGATGTGGATGGGTATTACCTGAATATCAATCTTTTGTATTACTTAAAACACTATCATATGTCAAGCACCACAAGGCTCTCCGTTTAGATCTTCCTCATGTATCTTCCATAACATTGACTGTCATCTTCTATGCAAAAGTTGACAAGAATGATGCCCAGCTAGTATAGGGAGATGTCTCATAGATGTAACACAGCAATACATAACTGACAATATGATTTCACATAAACACTAGAACTAAAGGCAGAGCAAGGAAGTGATTTCAGAGTTAATGTATACCAGTGATATTTAACATTCAAGAATCTCAAATTCTGTTAATGTAAAAAGTATACATTGAATATACTACTTTTCAAAAAAAGAAAATACCCTGTTCATTTTTAATCAATGTTGCAAAGTTTTTTCTTTAGATTATGCTCTATAGAGCAGAGTAATAATGAAAAGCATTAATGCCTTAATGGTTTCTCGTGTAAATCCTGTTTATTAATGCTTTTCCACATTTATTGCATCTGTAAATTTCCCTTCAGCATGAACTATCTGGTGTTTTCTAAGGTGTAAATTTTGTGCAAAGGTCTTTCTACATTTACTACATTCATAGGATTTCTCTTTGATACTAATGCTTTCATGTTGAATACAATTAGATCACTGGTACATTTATGATTATGTACACTATAACATCCTTTCTGACCTTCACCCTCACCCAAGTATTAAAAGGTCATCGCCTTTATATTTTCCCAATGTCACTCTTTTTTTTTTGGTACCAGGGATCAAACTTGGGACCTTGCACTTGCAAGGCAGGCGGTAGAACCACTGAGCTAAATCCCCAGCCCTCCAATGTCACTTTTTCAAATGGATCTGTTACATTTATGATTATGTACTGGTGTTTTTTTGTTTGCTTGTTTGAGATAGGATCTCACTATGTAGCTCAGGCTGGGCTCTAACTCACAATGACTTTCCTGCCTCAGCCTTCCTAGTGGTGGGATTACAGGTGTGCACCACCACGCCCGGTTTGATCATGTACATTATTGCACCCTATCTGACCTTCACCTTCATCCAAGTATTAAAAGGTCACAGCTTTTATATTTTCCCAGTATCACTTTTTTTTCTTTTGTACCGGGGATTGAACTCGGATCCTTGTACTTGCAAGGCAGGCGGCAGAACCACTGAGCTAAATCCCCAGCCCCCAGTATCACTTTTTGAAATAGATCTTGTGTCTTTCTCTGATGAAATGCCTTTGGTGTACTGAGAAGTCACAGCTGAAAGAAATGAAAATAAGGAATTATCTCACCACTAAACTTTGGTTTATATACTTTACAAATCTAATATATAAAATAATATCAGACATTAAAGAGATGAATAAACAGTAAACCACATCCACACATTTATTTAGCTATATGGACTTAACAGGATCAAACTGAGCAAACTGTCCGTGTCAGAATCTTATACACATCTAAGAATTTGCAGTACAGCAGATGAGCAAAAACACTAAGGAAAGTCATGCAGGAAAGGAACAATGCCTCTTTACATTTTCCCACAAAAGCCTCTCCTCCTTCCCAATACATCATGGTGTCATGGCGTCCTTACAGTATTGAATGATGGGATCTTTTAATCTAGAGACAGTAGAAATGTGAATGGAACAAATATGTAAGCATATACTCTCTTGCAGACAACTTTATTGGGTAGAGGGCAGGGACTTCAGCCAAATTGGGGCTTTGGCTGAAGGGAGTCACCACTCACTAAAGACAGTGCCAAAGCTTCTGCTTTTAGAAGAGCACCAGGTTTTTATTGATTTGTGGAGCAGACTAAACTCTGGTAATTTCCATATGGCAGGGGCATGTTTCCAAAAGATGTTTCTTCTTGTGACGGAATTGGGTCACTGGGCAGACACAATCAACTTGTCCAATAGACAGTACAAGTTTTGTATCTCTGGTGCCATCATCCTGTGCAAAACATTCCAGCCTTGTGGATATGGACCTCATGATAAGGTCAAAGAATGTCAGGTGTTTGAGCTCCTGTGGCTACCAAAGAAACACAAGGGTGGGGGCAGAAAACAATAGAAAAAGAAAAAAAGAAATACATACCAACTCCAAATGTCAGTAGGCCAATTAACCCTTCATTATGGTATCAGACAAAAAAAATTTAAATGATCAAAATGCCTATGTGCAGATATGTAAAAGTAACGTCTCTTCTGTCTGCATGTTTCCTATTACATGAAGCAACAAAAACAATCCAAATGAAACACTTTTTTGTTAATTATGGAGAATGTTATGTAAGCAGTACTGTTCTGTTTGTTTCATACAAATGTCAACTTCTTGACTTTTGAAGTCTCCAGTTTTCACCTGAACAAACTGGCTCAATGATTTCATTAAATTTTATATCATTTATCAAATTCAAAGAAATAACACAAAAAAAGGCAGCACCTCCACTGAGGTGGAAACTGAACACATTAATGTTTCTTGATATGTTGTGAAAATACATCTTCCAAATAAATTTACAACTCTACAAATTTTATAAAAACCATACTTAAAAAGTTTGAACAAGTATAACAATGTTTCATATGCTTTGAACAAGTCATGTTAGGTTTTCTATGAGTAAAAGCAAATAAAGAATTGGCACAGAGAGATTTTAAAGCCAGAAATCTTATCTTGTAGAAATTAGATTTTTCTTTTTTAGGTATGTGAGGTTAACCATTAGAGCATTTTCAAGTGTTTTAAATTATCTTTCATTTCTATAATTTCATTTTCTTCACAAGATAGGTATACACAAATATGTACACGCATGAACACACACAATTATTACTTTCATGGCTCTACTGCTCCAAAAGTTAATCATTGTATTGTAAAAAATATGTATATTTCAGTCAATGTAAATCTAAACCAAGTTTGTATTTGTGGACACATGGAAAAATTATAGGCAAAAAAATTTACAAGTAGTAATTGAAGATTTGAAAATATAAGGCTTATTATAATACTCCTATATCTTTTGTATAATTATAATTTTCCAGTAATTACAAAAAGAAAAAATGAAAATGTAATTATGGAAGTAATATTCTCCAAATTTTAATTTTAATGACCCTGGGAAAAAGGATTAATAAAGATGTCATTCCACTATTTATCCAATTGTATATTATGTCATCTAGAAATTTAAGTGGAATGTCTGTGACAGAAAAACATCAAACACAACACTGTTAAGAAATCATTTTTATTTACTTACAAAAATCATGCATAATCTCAAATATTTCAAAATCCATTATAAAGCCTGATTTAAAGGTATAGATTAAAAACTCAGGAGTTTTCTTCAAAGTATGATTTATTGAGAGTTGTGATTTCTCCAGTTTTCAAAAGAATATTCTCTAAGTTAGGATTTACAATAAATTTCTTTCAGAGATAAGTTTTCTGCATTATTCTCTGATATCTAGTGAAGATTTTTTTCTACCATATTAGCTAATGGTGTCCAGTAAATTTTAATCAAAAATTGAAGGATTTGCCATATTTTCTATACTTGTAGGATTCCTACTTTGTATTTATGAAGGCTTTTTTCTCTATGAAGTATTAAGTATTTTGTGGTACTCTGACAAGCATATTTTGGACAAAGGTCTTCCCACAGTCATTACGAGCTGCTTTCTTTACATTTTTATAGTTTACCCTCACTATGAATATTCTGGTGTTGTGTAAGGTTTGAGCTTTGATTAAAAGCTTTGCCACATATTTTACATTTATAGGGTTTCTCTCCAGTATGAATTCTCTGGTGTCGAGTAAGGTGTGAGCTTTGAGTGAAAGCTTTGCCACATTCTTTACATTTGTATGGTCTCTCTCCAGTATGAATTCTATGGTGCTGAGCAAGAGTTGAACGGTCATTAAAGGCTTTGCCACATTCCTTACATTTGTAGGGTCTCTCTCCAGTATGAATACTGTGATGGTTAGTAAGAGTTGAACAATCATTAAATACTTTGCCACATTCTTTACAATTGTAGAGTTTCCCTCCTTTATGAATTCTCTGGTGCATAGTAAGTCGAGAGCTTTTGTTAAAGCCCTCACCACATTCTTTACATTTGTATCGTTTCTCACCAGTATGAATTCTCTTGTGTTGGATAAGGGCAGAACAATCACTAAAGGCTTTCACACATTCTTCACATTTGTAGGGTTTCTCTCCAGTATGTATTCTCTGGTGTACAGTAACACTTGAGATTCGTTTAAATGCTTTGCCACATTCTTTACATTTGTATGGTTTGTCTCCGGTATGAACTCTCTGATGGAGAGTAAGATTTGAAGAACCATTAAAGGCTTTGCCACATTGCTTACATCTGTAGGGTTTCTCTCCTAAGTGAATTATCTGGTGCCGAATGAGGTTTGAGCTTTGATTAAAAGCTTTGCCACAATCTTTACATTTGTAGGGCTTCCCTCCTATATGAATTCTCCGGTGTTGAATAAGGTTTGAAATTTGAATAAAGGACTTGCCACATTCTTTACATTGGTAGGGTCTCTCTCCAGTATGATGTTTCTGATGTTGAGTAAGGTTTGAACGAACATTAAAGGCTTTGCCACATTCTTTACATTTGTAAGGTTTTTCTCCTGTATGAATTCTTTTGTGTACAGAAAGGTTTGCAATTTGATTAAAAGCTTTGCCACATTCTTTACATTTGTAGGGTTTCTCTCCAGTATTATGAATTCCTAGGTGGTTTCTAAGGCTAGAATACAGGGTAAAGGCTTTGCCACATTCGTTACATTTGTAGGGTTTCTCCCCAGTATGAATTCTATAATGTTGTGCAACATATGAAAGCCTGTTAAAGGCTTTGCCACATTCTTTACATTTGTACGGTTTCTCTCCAGTATGAATACTATGATGTCGGGTAAGGACTGAGATTTGATTAAAAGTTTTGCCACATTCTTTACATTTATATGGTTTCTCTCCAGTATGAATTCTCTGGTGTTGTCGAAGGCTTGAATCCTGGGCAAAAGCTTTGCCACATTCTTTACACTTGTAAGGTTTCTCTCCAGTATGGATCCTCTGATGTCGAGAAAGGCCTGAGGTTTGATTAAAAGTTTTGCCACATTCTTTACATTTATATGGTTTCTCTCCAGTGTTATGAATTCTCAGGTGTTGTCTGAGCCTTGAATCCTGGGTAAAGGTTTTCCCACATTCTTTACATTTGTAGAGTTGGTCTCCAGTATAAATTCTCTGATTTTGAGTAAGGCCTGAGATCTGATTAAAAGCTTTGCCACACTCTTTATATTTGTAGGGTTTCTCTCCAACCCAATGAATTTGCAGGTGTTGTTTAAGCCTTGAATCCTGTGTAAAGGCTTTCCCACATTCTTTACATTTGTAGGTTTTTTCTCCAGAATGAATTTTCTGATGCTGAGTAAGACCTGAAATTTGATTAAAAGCTTTGCCACATTTTTTATATTTGTAAGTCTTATCTTGAATATGAACACTTGGAAAAGTAGCAAAATTTGAGTATTTAAAGATTTTCCCATGTTTTTTATCTAGATAAAGGTTCTTCGGAAAACAAGTCCACTCATGTTTCCAAGTATTTGAGCCATAGATAAAGTTTTCATCACGTTCATAAATTTTCTCACAAATGTAAGTATCTGGGTAATTATTTAGAGTAGACCCCTGGCTAAGGGTCTTTGTAGTTTCATTACGAATGTAGTGTACTTTCCAGATATCTGTATCTGCATTTGGATTAATCAATAATGGGTAAGTAAAGATCTCATATTCATTACAATTGTGTATTTTGACAAAAGGAGAAATTGTTTCTTGATTGCAAGATGAACTTTTTCTAAAGGGATTCTCAAACTGATCACATTTAGACATTTCTTCATTTTTAAATCCATTGTCTATAGAAATGTTTAAGTTTAAGTTTAACCTAGTAGCGTGAAGTAGGTCCCTTTTCAGATTCTCTAAATTTCCTTTCAGAGGAAAGTTATGTTTCAGAAATTGGTGTGGATACTTACTTATACAAACACTTGGCTCTTTAGAAGTAACTGGCATAAACTGAGATATTTTCTGAGATGATGTATATTCTTCATCTCTATTGACAAAGAAGTTTTTGTTGTGGACAGGTATTACACATTGGTTGTGTCCAGCATAACATAGGTTCTGACCTTCACTCTTACCAATACTTTCCCATTCTTTCCTTAAGTACAAATTGTCAAGGCCATAATTTCCATTTCTTCTCTTTTTCATATTCTGGAACAAATGTTTTATGCACTGGTCTCCTGAAAAGGCTTGGGTATAATGAGTAGAAACAGCTGAAACAAATCAAAATAAAAATTATTCCACTTAACAGACTCCAGTGAATATACTTTGCAAATGTAACATGAAATTATATGAAGGTAGGGACATCAGCAGGACAGGAGAATAGTAAACTCTAATTATTACAGGGATACATGAACTTAAGAACATACTGACCATACTGTTTTGTGAGCACTTCCAAAACTAAGAGTTTACAGCACTCCAGATGAGCATAACATGGGGGGGGGGGGGATATACGGGAAGAGAAAGAAACATTTGTTACTTTTGTCAACCACAAATCTTTCTCCTCCCCAGAGCACTGTGGAATTAGGGGGGAAAAAACCCCAATCTCTTTCTTCTCCCTCAAGACAGAAAAAGAGGGAAACATATGTACAAATGCTAGCTTTCTTAGAGGATTTTCATTTTGTAAATTTTAAATTCTGGCTTATCTATCCTGATACAGAGTTCTATAGATAACAGGATTATTTTGGGACGAATGACTGGGTTTTTAAATTATTTCTTTATTACTGATTTCATTGACAAATTAAATTCTATGAATTTACAATGCCTATCATAATGTCTTAAAATGTACACACAGTCAGATTGCCAAACCTAGCTAAATAACACATGCACTATATTACATAATCATCATTTTTGTGCTTAGAATATTTTACATCCATTCTATTACCATTTATCAAAAATATATTAATTACACTCACCATGTTGTGTGGTAGAATTTTTGACCTTTTCATATGTACTGAACTAAAATTTTGTACCCTTTTGCCAACATTACCCCAACTACCACTCACAAAAAGCACAGTCTCTAGTAACCAGCATTTGACCCTTGATATTTCTTTTTTTTTTTGGTACCAGGGATCGAACTCGGGTCCTTGCGCTTGCACAGCAGGCGGCGAAACCACTGAGCTAAATCCCCAGCCCAACCCTTGATATTTCTGACTTCAACTTTTTCAGATTCCACATAAGGTCATGCAGTAATTGACTCTTGTATATGCCTTAATTCCTATCATGTAAAGTCTTGTATGTTGTTTAAATGCGCACTCATGTTACTGTAATGACAAAATTTTCTCTTTATTGCTGAATAGTAATCCATTTTATATGGGATTTTTATTTGTTCATTTTTGGACAGGCATTTAGATTGTTTCTGTATCTTGGCTATTGTAAACAATGCTGAACTGAACATAGGAGTGAAAATACCTCTTCAACATATCCATGTCTTTTGGCTGTATGTTCAGTAGTAGAATTGCTGGATCATATGATCTTCCTAATTTTAATTTCTTTATAAACTTCCATACTATTCATTGCTATGGCATATATCTAGATATTCACCCAAAGCCTCATGTGCTCCCAGGTGGGGCTTGTAGTTGTGACTGGCTCATGGGTGCAATAACTGGATCAGTTCATTGATTGGATTAGGCAGACCTAGCCTATCAGAAATGATAAAGAAAATAATTTTCACTGAAAAATAAAATGCTCACAGCAACATAAATCATGAAATTTTAAAGCTCTTTAGGAAAAATTTGAAACACGAAAGTATAAAAAATCATCATAAACCTCTGGTAAGGGATACACAAAATAAGAATTACTCTGACATCAATAACATAACATGAAAGAGCAAGGTAAAGACAAAGAATTTTCAGGTGGAACTGCAGTGAATTTGTTACCAATTTAAAATACAGTATTGGACTGTATGTGTAAGATACATGCCTTTAATCCCAGCACTCTGGGAGGCTGAGACAGAAAAATTAAAACTTTGAGCCCAGCATGGACAACTTAGTGACTTAGGGAGAACCTGAGTCAAAACAAAAAATAAAAGGGCTGGAGAGGTACATCATTGCAAAGGCCCTGGGTTCAAACCCCGGTAACACTAGATGGACACATACATACATACACACATACACACAATAAATTACAGTGTTGGGACCTTAAGGTGCTTTTTATATAATCCTATATAAATGACAATATAAATATCTATAAACAAAGAGAAATGGAAAAAAAGACCAACATGTGTCACTATAAAAATCAATGAAGCTCAATATTAAAACATGAGTAGGAAAAACAATTATAATACATAAAACAATTTCTAAAATGGCAAGAATAAGTTCTTCCTTTCAGCAATTTCTTCAAATATAAATGAATTTATACTTAATCTGAAATAAAAACACATAAATGTGTTAATGAGATAAAATCTTTTTTTTTTTTTGGTACCGGGGATTGAACTCAGGACTTTGCACTTGCAAGGCAGGTGGTGGAACCACTGAGCTAAATCCCTGGCCCAGAGATAAAATATTTTTCAAAAAAATCAAACTATATGCTGTCTACAGAGTTTTTACATGTAAGAACAGGCTGAAAGAGAAAGGTTGGAAATGATATTACATGCAAAACAAAAGAAAACAGGGTTAGTCATAATTACACAAAATAAAAGCAGTAATAGTGATATGAAATGTAATATATCTTAAGTCGAAAACTTTAACAAGAGATGAAAATTAATAATGATAAAAGGGATGATTCTCTAGGATACTTCAGCAATAATGTATATGTCACTCACATAGCTTGTCTCAAATATAAAAGCAAATATTGACGGAATTGAATAAACAAATAGGAAATGACACAACAGTAGAAGGCTCAATTCCTCAGGTACAGTCATGGAAAATAAAACTCGAAAGAATAGTAACAGGAACAGAGGACTATGAAAAACATAAACCAACTAGACCTACATATACAATCTTCTTAATAGCTCATTTTATCCTAGACAAATCAACTGTTGGGGCACAAAACAAGTCCTAATAGGTCTTAAAATATTAAGTTCTTTTCTAACCATAATAAAATAAAGGCAGAAATCAATGGTGGAAGAGAAATCACAAAATCAACAATATGTAGCAAAGAATTTGGGGGAATACTGGGGATTGAACTCAGAGTCTTCTCATTGAGCTACATCCTTAGTCCTCCTTTTTAATTTTGAGACAGGGTCTTGTTAAGTTGTTGAGTTCTCCAGGATAGATTTAAACTTGCAGTCCTCCTGCTTCAGCCTCTCAGAGTGCTGGGATTACAGATGTGCACTACCATCCCCAGCTAAACAATCTATACAACCAAAAGTAATCTAGAAATTTCATGCAATCTCTACCAAAATTCCAATATTAATTTTTCCCCTAATACAAAAAGCCACTCTGAAAATCATGTTATATCAAATATTTGTGATTAACTCAACAATATTCAAAAGAGGAACAAATTTGAAATCATAATGCTTCCTGATTTAAAAGCATTAAAGTTACTGTAATCATGTCAACTTTAATGTTGACATAAAGTTAGACAAATAGAGAGTACAGTAACAAACCCTCATATACACAGACAAAATTAGATATACTCATACACTGATGTTCACTGCAACATAATTCACAACAGCCAAAGGTGGAAGCAACCTAAATATTCCTTGACATGAATGAATGAAGGCAATTTAGAATATACAAGTGATGGAATACTATTCAACCTTTAAAAAGGTAAGAAATACTCTAACATCTAGAATAATGATTAATCATGAGGACATCATTCTAAGTGAAATAAGCCACTCACAAAGTTACAATGTGATTCTACCTACACATCTAAAACAGTGAAATTTGTAGAACAGAAAGTAGAATGGTGGTTGTGATGGTGAGAGGAAAGACAGAAAAGAGCACTTATTTTTCATGGGTACTGAATTTTAGTTTTGCAAGATGAAAGCTTTATAGTTTCTGCATAACATATATATTTAACAATTCTGAATAGTACACTTAAAATATTTGAGAGCCTATTTTATTTTATGGGTTTTGACTATAATTCAATTTTTTAAAAAGCAAGGCAAAAGTATAAAAATATTAAAAAGCTATCTTTAAATCTTAGATGTTTCTCTTAGACAAGGAAATTCATTCATTAATAATTTCCATGAATATTCACATATTATGAAACAACTCAGCACAAATCAAGACAGAAAACAAACATGTCATGAACAACATACAAGTCATGAAAATATACATGTCATGAACATGTTGCATGCAACTAAAGACATACACAATTTTACTAGCAATAGACATATGGCTCGTACATATTTGAATTTCACCTTAAATTGCCAAAAGTGTACAGTATTGCTCTCCATTCAATATATACATAAAAAACTAAACATTATCTGATGTGAGGAAACCTACC